TGTATTGGCTCTTGCCTTTCCATTGGACCATTTCAGCAACGTGGAGAGGGGGGATCTGCTGCTTGGGTAACAGCCTATCCTCCATATTACCTTACCCGGGCTTCATGCTCTGGAGAGGACACTCCTCAATTCAGAGCATGTTACCATAGTCTCTCGAGACTGAAGGATGCCTATACTATACTGATTTCTACAATCAGTATAATGAAACATGTACATTTAAAAAGACTTATACTACTGCGGAGCATTAATCTCTGATCACACAGGCTTTCTGCTTTTTTCATCCGACACTTAGAGACAGAAACAATTGTCATGGTAAGGATTTCTGTTAGACTCTATTTGTATACATGCAAGCACACTCACATGCAAAAATTGTGTTTGTTCAAATAGTGTAAAAAATCAGTGTGCAGAAACCGAAACACACACACACTGTCACATAGTTTGCAACCCCAAGTCATAGTTTCATATTCTGATTTTCCAGATAATCACAAACAGTGTTTGGCTATGGTTGTTGTAGGTTTTTCGGGCAGTTTGGCCATGTTCTGAGGATTTTTCTTCCTAACATTTCACCAGTCTCTGTGGCTAGCATCTTCAGAGGACAGGAGCCAGAACCCTGTCTGTGCTAGTTGAGTATTTATAGCTGTGGGATCAGCTTTTGTCCTTTTCAGGAGATTGGGTGATTATGGTGATCAGCATGTTTTTTGTAGTGGGTGTGTTGTTATGATAAACAAAGGTTTGTTATTTCATCCAACTCCCAACAAACTGTGTTTCATCTTAACTATTGAAACAAACAACTTCAGTCCATGGATTATGAAGCTGACTTGTTTAAAACAAAATGTTGAAACCATGGCTCAGACATAATGCTAAAACTATGGATAACCAAAAGAGGGAAAAGAAAGAAACTGAAAGCTTCCAAACTCATTTTCATGACTACATCAGCTGAAAAGAGAGAAAGGAAAAGTGTGCAAACTTGATACTTACAGAAATTCATTCCAGTCATGAAACACTATGATTTATTATGAAGTCCACACACACTTCTTTGAGTTTAAATATATGCTTAATCAATGGCCAGATTAAGGTATAACATGGAATCTTGATTTGTTTTAATGTCTGGACTGAGAATGCCTAGAATAGTTGTGTGTTTCAGGCAAGCAAGCCAGGTTCTGAAACAATAGTTTGATACTACGGTAGTTTAAAAAAAACCCACACACTTTGGGCTAATAATGGCTACATTCAGATGCCATGCTAACCCATGGCTTATGACAATGTACATAAACTGAAGCAAATCTAGGACCTTCATATGCATCCACCCCCTTTTCCCCTTCCTGCATAGCCAAGAGGACTTATAAGGTTTTGTTTCTCCCATCCTTTAACCACAGCTTCTCATGATATTGTAACTGGGGCACATGGTTAAAACTTACTATGGTCAATTTCAAAAAGCCAACTTCAGAAACCACAGTTTAATCATAGTATTAACTGTAGTTTGTCATATCAGATGACATAAACCATGGTTATGGGAAAGAAAAGCACAAATATCCAAAGCCCTGGTTTTAGACACCTGGAAGAAGGAGGAGGGATTGCATCAATCCACGTTCCACTAAAGCTCATTTAGGGGTATATGTGAATGTTGCCATTGATGTATTGTTTATGACTTAATTCACAAACTATAGAAAAAGCATAGGTTAGAGATATCTCATCAGCTCAACAGGCTACTGCACAGTGAATGTCAAAGTGAAACCTAGTCTTCAGTAAGTGGGGAAGAAATGCAAACAAGGAACTATTATACATTTGGAAACTCCCACCATGGAATGAGTTCTTAACTATGATGCACATAAAAGATAGCACTGAATTATGGCTGAATCTACTCAGCATTTATTTGTTTGTTTGTTTGTTTCCTTTCTGCCCATAGGGGACCCAAGGCAGCTAACAACAACCAAAATTATAAAACAATTGAGTTAAAATGCTATATCAATATTGTATTAAGGGCAATTAAACATATATTAAGATTAAAACTAAGAGTAAAAACTATTTTGAAACATTTAAATACTGTATCTGTAAAATACTTTCAAAGAGCATGCCCGAGACACTTGCTGGTTAAAAACCTGCCTGAAGAAGAAATTCTTTCCCTGACAATGGAAAGCCTAGAGTGAGAGAGACAACCTGGCTTCTTATAAAAGATGCTGGGTTTAGTTTAAAGAAAGTACATATAGGTAGGGATGGGCCTTTAGTACCAAAACACAAAAAGGCTCTCTTTCGCATAATGGCAACTACTGAACAAGAAGTCTCATAATTCATATTTATGAGAGGGGGGTACATGAACACTTATGCTTCTTTCATATTTCCTCATTCATGTAAACATTTGGTGCCCTTTTACCTCTTATCTTTCAAATAGCCTGAGAAATATTTCATCCAATACCATTGCAAGGGCTGTCATCAGCTAATGAGACCATCTAGCGGGAGCTGGAATTTTAAATCTGTAAAATCCCAGTAAGCAGTGCTCTTTGCTTGAGCTGTGATTTTTTGGGGGGGGGGAATTGCTTTGTGCTGCGCTCCTGGTGCCCTCTTCATTTGCTGCCTCCCTGCCTGCTGTATCTTCATACCGAATCCTTTCCTCTTTCTTCCTTGATTTTTCGGGGAGAATTTTTCCCCATTTTTTGATGATGATGACGACGATTTTACTGCTGCCAAGCAGCCTGCCTGTCCCAGCAAGCCGCCTTGGGATTAAGTTTTGGAAACACCCCTCTTCCTACAGTTTCTATGGAGGTTTTCCCCTCTTTGGTCTTTTGACTGTATTTCCTTCCTTTTCTTGGGAGAGGGGCTCTCTTTTTTCTTTTTTTGCTATTTTTCTGTTTGTGCGTGTGCGTGGTTGCTTGATTTTTTAAAAATTTGCTATATGACTAATTATTGTGTATTTATTCTATGGGGGTGGAGGGGCTGCTTTTTGAGCTTCTGTGGGTGGGTATGCATCAGGTATGGATTTTGTGATTGTGCCAGTGTGCCAGTGGCTGTGTGGGTGGTGGCTGTTCTTTAGGCACAGCTTGGGGCATTTATCTCTTGTTGTTCTTGATATTGCATTCTTGTTGGCTGCTTTAGTATATGGCTGTGCCAGCCAGCCAGTATCTGGCTGGCTGGCTGCTTCCTTGCTTTTTTCCTATTGTGCTGCTTAGGACTAGGAAATCTGTAGCACTAAGTGGATGGCATTGCACTCATACTGTTGTTTCATCTTTTCTAATTTTGGGTGCTTTGCTGCTTTTTGAATTGGGTGGGTGACTGAAGTATATTTTGCTTTATGTGTACTACTTGTAGAGAGTTGGGGTGCCTCCATATATCTGATCGTGATTGTATTTCCCATGCACTGTTTCCTCTTTTTGGAGTAGATTGTTTCTCCATTACCTAGTCTCTGCTCTTTTGGAATAGCTTTCAATTATTCTTTATGGCTTTTGAAGTCTGATAAAACACAAATGGGGATACACAAACTGGGAACTCAGAAGATGCTTTCATGTAAAATGAGAGGGGCAGTACACCAAAATATGGGGAAAAAACCAAAATGAAAGAAATATGAAAACAATTGCCTTGCAGATATAGGCTGAAATCCTGTTGCATAGCTGCATGTACAGAACAGGAATGCACAGACTGCCACTGATTAAAGACGTCCTTTAGTAACTTTGGGTGGCACATGCCTTTGTTGTAGTGTATAAAAGATGCATACACACTGAAAATCTGAGAGGAAGTCTTCAATCAGCAGTGATTTACTGAAGCTGATTACAATGTTCCCATTGCACTCGTGGAGTTGTACAAAAGGATTTCAGCTATTTTAAAAATGTATATATAGTACCTTAGATTAAGATTTCATTTTAAATGATAAACATTTTAAGGGATAAATTTAATTTACATTTTAGAAACTGGATTGTTCCTCTTTAATTGTTTACACCACAAGTTTTCAAAATCATCTAGTTTAATTCAACCTGGTTTAGATACCTTATATGCACATATGAAAACACTTCATTAGACTGTCTTCCTCAAATCTAGGGATATTAATTGATGTCTCTTAATAAGGTCATCTTTTGTCATACTTTCTCTCATTCACAGGTTTAAGGAACTGCAGGGAGGTTGTTGTCCAAGAAGAGTAGCAATTCACTCCATCTCTTACAAGTGACTTATACTGTATTAAATCTTTTCTGTGCAGTCTCATTTCATAAGGTAAATTCTTTAGAATAGCTACAGAGTAGATGATTTGAGACCACCTGCCTTACTACAACTGATTCAAAGCAGAGTTATTGCGCTATTCCAAGATAAACCTCATTACAGAGTTGCTCTTATGTACAGACAACAGCATATCAATTTAAGAAAAGTTTACCATGGGGTAAGTGCATATATAGATACATCCCAATAAGTGTAGTATTGATAATATGTTACTGAAATCAAATAGAATCCCATCTTTATGGGAAGGGGGGATACATTCTGGCCATGAATGATGACAATTAACAGCTCTATCATTTAAATAAAATGTGCCCACATTTTTCTGATCTGTTGTGACTTAATGCTGTGACCCTACATAATATCATAAGAATAAAGAAAAAAAATATCAAAAGGAAACACACATCTAAATTTTTATCTTCTCTGTCATTTCAGTTTGCAAAACCACAAACAAAGGAAACTGCTGTAGATATTTTTAAACAGAAACTGGTATTCTTGTATTTTACGCTTACGAATGGTGTTTCATCCAAAGAATCATACAAAGGTTTGTGAAAACATATAGAAAAGCAAATCTATTATAATAATTGTAGTAAAAAGAAGTCTAATGCTGACACGATTTATGCAGTTCCACAACAATGTCATTCATTTTAGCCTACATTTATTTATTTTAAATAAATAAAAATGCTTAAATGTTAGTTAAATAAATAAATATAATATAGGATTTTTTTGGAAAAATCTACATACCAACTACCGTAAGCAGCATGTTGTCCAAGAGTAGAGCAATGAACACAATCAACAAGATTAATTTCCGGGATTGTCGACTCTCTCTGAGCCAACTGAGGACAGCAAATTCACTCCAAGCCATGGTCTTGTTTCCCTTGAGTAATGGCTTATACTGCAAACATTAGAAAAAGGATATGTTAACCCAAATCCAGAATTAAAACAGCATCATGTCCTCTTTTTCCATGGTAGTCTTCTTAAAAGAGAATGTAATTCCTGAACTGCTACCACAAAAATAAGAAATATTTGCTTTTCTTTCATTCTGGTACATAATAAAGGGAGGGGGGCAATGGCCATTCCTAAATGATAGTTTTTCCCCCTGTGATCAGCAATGGACTCATATGATTATGCCAGTCAATGAGTCATCAGTGTTTCCATTTCTATTATTTCATACAGAAAAAAATCCAAGAAGCTGTGCAGGTCTTTATTTAAATGTTTTAAATAAAAATGAATAAAATAGAGCTAGAATTGAATACAGTTTCCCCAATATCAAATATGTACATTGAATGAACTGCTAAAAGTTCTAGGTCTCTCTGCTTCATTTTACTTCTCTCCTAATAAGTCCTCCTGCACATATAGTCCCCTAAACAAAAAACATAAGGCGTGTATCATTCCATCTGTAATATTCTTCATGAATGATCACTATGTATCCAATATATCCAAGGAAAATGTGTTCTTTCTACTTTCTTAGAAGAATCTTTTTAAATTCTTATAACAAAATTTTTTTTAAATCACATTCTCCCAGATCTAGGAAGTTCTATGGTTTGCAATTTCTTTCCCTTCATCTCTGAAAAGCCTCAGCTTCCAGTTTGTTTAATCCATTCCAGCAAGTTTGAATAAATAACAAATAGCTGGGGCTGGAAGTACACATACATTTTACTAACATTTGCTTTTTCAGAAACCCCTACAGGTTAAAAAAGAAAAGAAAAGAAACCCCTACAGGTATTCTGTTTCATAAAATCAGGTCCAACCTCCTCCCAAGATTTCAGATCTACTTTTATAGTTTCAGCTCAGAGGAAAAGACAACACATAAAACAACACTAAGCAAATCAGGACTACAGCATCACCATCCCCTACAGAGTCTTACCAAGTATCTCATCCTGAGCAAGGTTTATTGGCCTGCAACTGAGGGAAATTTAACAACTTTGTCTTGCTCAACAGGCAGAAGCAGTGTTTTCCACATATAAGGCACAATATGAGTATGCTATTTGTACAAAGTGGCTTTTTGGTTATAAACCCCTTAACCCTGTATGCCTTCTCCCTTTAAACTGCCCACCAATTAACCTGGTAGATCTCACTGCAAAGTAACCTGCAATCATTATCTCATGGCATAGAGCCATGAAATGGGTTTCTTGTGTTCTGCTCCATCTGTTTATTTTTCGGCCTCACTCCCACTCATGTGGCGGCAGCACAAGTGGTGGGTGTTCTGTTTGTTAGAAAGATTACTACTACATGAAACATATTTTATGATTTTAAAAAATCCGAACAAGTTACTTGATTTTCACACAAACTACCTTCCTCTGTTTTGCATTTGCAAGCCACTAAGCCTACGGTGCCCATTTTCCTTTGCTGTCTGAAATGAAGTCAGAAATCAAACCCACTTGGAAGTGCACACTCAGTCCTAGAAGCATTGCCTCCTGATTCTAGATGGCAGCCAGTGAGTGAAGAACATGCACTCTGGGCATGCTTTTCAAACTCTCTCTTATTCCAAATCAGAAGCTCTGAGCTCTTATGCCATTGCTGCATTGTGTCCCAGGTCAATGGATCACTCACTCGCCTTTAGTATTGCGTCGCATGCTGATAACCACAGGTGGCTCATGGCAGAGTAACGGGGCACTCCCTTGCAATTTGGAGATGAGACTTCCCCCCCCCATCCACGCGAAATGTACAAGGTCTTGTAACCCGCCCCCCTTTCCCCACAGCTTATAGGTCCTAGATGCCCTAGTCTGTTTTCTGTTTTTTAAAAAGGAGCCATCGGAACCAAGGGAGCGGAGATGTGTTCTTCCAGACCAGTTTTCAGGCTGTCCCCTCACTTCGAACGGCCTCCAGCGTTCCCTAGGCTCCTTGCTGCCCTCACTGCCCGCATCGCGTCCTCGCTGTCCCAACTCTCTTCCTTTGCCGCCACCACCCATCACCCCGTCGCTGTCCCGCAGTTCCACCCCGGGGTAGAGCCACTACAGCCCCCATTCGCAACTCCTGTTCCACTTCTGCCCTGCTTCCCGCC